ATATATGTATATATATGTTTGTCATTAGTCTTGGAGTCTGTGGTTTATTGTACCTTGTATTAAAATGGAATATTCATATGTTGATTCTGGTACTGCTTTGCTTTTTGCTGGACTATTAGGGGACGCATGCGTCCTTTTGTTTTGAAATATAATCCACAAGCGTTGCACACAAGCTGCCTTTCATGTCGTCGCCAGGTCGTGGTCGTGGTTGTTTTACAATGTGCGCATTCTTGTTTTTTCCTGCTGCTGGACTTGACTCTACCCCTACCAGTTTTCTTGAGATCGACGTTGCCACACACACTGTGTCTGCGTTGTTGTGTTCTGTGTGCATTTGTGTGCATATTGCCATCTTGGTAGAGCTGCCCACTTTTACTATCGTTTAGAGCTGGTACCATGTTCGTTGGACGAGTATAAAATTGACCAACATCTTGTACACCCGTTGTATATTGGTGGGCGGTATTTATAACATCGTGAATCCTCTGTGTTATTCGGAGTGATTGTCTCCTCTGCTGGACTCGCTCTGTATAAAACTGTATATCCTTTTGTTCCCGACCCGGATGATCCGACTGAATCATTGATATAGAATTAAACTCGCACCTGTTGTCAAGCTGATTCGTTTGCCACTGATTTGAAAAGAGTTTGGACTGCTGATCATGCATAACATTGTCGAATTCATCCATCGGGGAAGAAGCTCGGTTTAACATGTCCAGGATTGAAAGCCTTGTATCCTGTGAGTTTTGCAGAGTCATTGCATCGTCGCGTGTTTGTTTGAAGCTGAGTGGGTTTAAGTCTTTGAACTCTGTCTGCTGTAGACAATGCCGACCTGGAAAGGAATTAGCTGATGACAGTACCTGATTGCGCTCCTCTTCCAGTGTAGAAGTGGGCGCAGACAGCGATCTGCGTGATTTTTGCTGGTCATGTGATAGCTTCAATAGCTTAAAGCCGTTTGTTTGTGTTCCCGCCATTGTTGGCAGCTGACTAGGATTACCGTTACCTGTGATCATACCTCCTGAATGTTCTGCCCATTGACCGGTGTTATCGACCGTAGAGCACAACTCTATCGGCGTCGGCAGTGCTGATTGGGACCATGACATCGAACTGACCGATTGTCTGACAGGATCCTCACCGGTTAAGCAAGGCATAGACTGTGTGCCTGTAAGGTGTGATTTATTGAGTTCCTGAGTGGGATTGAGGGTGCTCTGCCCTGTTGAAAAAGGCATACTAGCCAATGATGGTAATAACGTAGGGGTTTTTACCGCTGAGATCTGTTTGGTGTACCCTTGAATGGCACTAAGTATGCGTTGCATCTCTTTTGCGTTCTCCTCTTTTTTCCAGATTGCATGCAAATTGTTCGCTTCGATACTATCATCCCGAATTTGCGGACGCCTTTCATTTTCAAGTGTCGAACTCGGCCCTTGAAGCGATGAAGATATCTGCAATCCTTCATAATGCATGATATTATGGATATTATGTTATACTCAATGTGAAGAATTGATGCTTCTCCTTCTCGATCTTATAAAATAGTGTATGCACTTGTAATGATATTAAAAATTCAATGCATCACCTTTTATATTCATTTACATACATACATAGTTCAGATCAGTTGGTATCACCATACATCCTAAAACTGATGACACTCTGACAATATAAATATAAAAATAAATGAAAATATTTTGTACTGGTGGTTACTTGTGCCCAGTGAGCGACTGGGCGTGCCGCCATGCCCCGTGCGGCGCGGGCAGGCCGGCATGAGTCGGCATCGAGCGTGGGGCCGTGGGCCTGAATAAAAAAGGGCAGATGAATAATCTGAACCTTTATTTATAGAACAGATTCAACCAATCAATCACAAAAGATCTTTCATATCAGTGAATTGACCACAGAAGAATTTACCCATTTAGATTACCACCTGTTCGAGTTTGCCAGTCACCCACTCCCAGACTCCACAGTCCCAGACTCCCAGACCCATCACGAGTCCCAGACCACCAGTCACGATCTCGAACAAAATAAACAAAAATAAATAAGAATACATATTTAACATTTGTATGCAATATTTTTTACATACATATCGTTAATATAGAATGTCATAGCTTGATATTTCTGTAAACTCTGACCAGCAGGGCAATAACCGCCAAGGCCGGTCCAGATGTGGACTTCGACCCTGGGTCCTTGGGATATAGTGCCAGCCGTAGGTGAGAGCTTTCGAGCTTCCTGTATTAATAAATTTATCTAGAGAGCCCTTGGAAAATTTGAGAATGTCATCCTTTCCTTTTCCTCAAAATGTCAGCGATTCGCTATAGCCAGGACTCCAGGAGTATGATGAGATTTCATATTTGATGTACATATTTGATATACAATAGGTGCATTCTGTACGGGAGTATTATTTGATTCGAGGTCATATATAAGAGGTATGGTCTTCATCACCTCGTAGTCACACTAGCATCTCCGTCAGTGAAGAGGCATTGTCATTTCACAATTGGTAGCTTGTATCGTGGTCAGGTAGATATTTTCGTGTTTTACGTACGACGATGCAGTGTCTGCGTCATTTAATACTGTCATGAGTTATGATAAAATCCAATTCGTGAAATCTGGTTCCGTCGGCGAGAAAAAGTAACTTGATCCCCTTTGATGAACTCGGATACTGCAAGGGTAAGACGCTGAAAGTGGAATCTAGTGCTTACCGGTAACCATTTCGAGTCGATAAAGTTGAATTATTCTGATAGAAGCATATATATGTCTTTGGGATTTTGTAATTGCGCTGCTTAAAATTATATCTTCAATAGTAACTGCATCAATATCACCTATATCGATGGAGAAAAATAAACATCTGTGTCAGTTTAGAATGTTTTTCAATAGTAACACTGCATCAAAATCACCTATATCGATGGAGAAAAATAAACATCGGTGTCAGTTTAGAACGTTTTTTATATCTTAATTGTCTGATTCACTTCGCATTATTACTAGACATACGTCAGAAATTGGTATTATTACAAGCGAGCACTAAATATAAACATTGAACGGTGATATACCCTGATTGTCGTAATCTATTTCTTACCATCCAGCTTATCAAATTTGAATCTATCATTTTATTATGATCAGGACTTTACTACGAGTTGTATACTTTCAAACTTCGACTACCTTACGCAAGCACATTATGTCTGGGATTTTGGAATTGCGCTGCTTAAAGACATATCTTCAATAGTAACGCTGTGCATCAATATCACCTTTATCGATGGAGGAAAACAAACATATTCGTCAGTTTAGAATGGGGGGTTATTTTTAATCTTAATTGTTTGATTCACCTCGCAATATTACCAGGCGTACGTCAGAATTCGGTATTATTACAAGCGAGTACTAAATGTAAATATTGAACGAAGGTGATACACCCTGAAAGTCGCCTTCTTACCATCCATGTTATCAAATTTGATACTGTCAATTCGATATGATCAGGACTTTATTAAGAGTTGTATACTTTCAAACTTCGAATACCTTACGTAAGCACATGAATTCTCATATTGTTCATGAGCTCAGACTGTGTGCCGACAAAAGTATTGATTGTCTTCTCCTGGGCCGCAGAGAGCGACGCACGTCTTCTCATTTGTTCATCACGAAGCTTTTCAACTTGTGCTTCATTCTGAAACGAAAGTACCCGCTTCTTCGCATTTGCTGTATCATCCAATTCGTCTTTATCCAGTTTAACACCATCCACTTTCTTGTGACCAGTCAGTTTGGAAGTAATACCCCACTTGGTGTCTTTATCGACATCCTTCTTGTCAGATTCGACATCTTTTGCCAGATCATGCCACTCTTTGTTTTCAATCTCGCATAGCTCAGACCATTCAGACGCATGCATTCGTTCGAAAATCGACACACAATCCAGCAGGCGCATACGGTATATAAGCTGGAATATAAAATATGATCATAAAATCAATAAGTACAAACGTAAATAATTAATGTGAAGTACAATCGCAATTATTTCACAAGTACAATCGCAAATAAATTTAGAAGTAACGCGGACGAAATTCAACTTTCCAGATGCAAGTAGGCCTACCTTCATAGCATCCAAGTGACTCTTACTGAGCGCGCGGTCATATTCGCTGATCAGAGGCCATTTTACTCGCTTCGCCTCTTGTTCCCACTCTTCCAAAGAATGTCTCTTCACTGGGTTTCTGACTTCTTCATCTTCGAACATCTGTTTGCTGTAGCGAGCAATTTCTTTCAAAAGGCGTTTCTCAATTGAACCCACTTCTTTGTCGCGTCGTTTTGTCTCCTTTGCTGAGTTCTTCTCCGCTCGCAGGTGCGCCTTAGCCATGTCTTTGTTAACCTTGACAAGCGCTTTATCTAATGTCTGCTGGTGTGCAAAAATTGACCTACATTGAGATTTGAACTTTGCTACTAAACAAAAGTGAAACTAACAAGGTATCGCAGACTATCTTTCACTTGCATGCGAGTTCGGCAAACAATAATATCCGCTTACTTACCGAATTAGAAGGTAAAATCTGTGACGGCTGCACGGGCACAAGCGCATTCAAAGTATGACTCTTCCGTGCCTGACTGAGTAAGTGTGAGCACGTTACGTGCGCGTCTGGATTTTTGTCCCCGTACACCTCAATGGGAATTTCTTTCCTGAAGGACACTTTGCTTCTAGACAATGCACCGACATCCATGACACCTAGGGCTGCTTGACCGCCGGCGAGCGCCATGGCACGCTGAGACACCAGTGAAGGCTTTTGGACGCTCTGATTGATTGCCCGAGGTAAAAGACGAGAAAAGAAATTTTAAAAACCACTACATAGGTCTCCAATTCTCCAATGCCCTACAACCAAATGTCAATAAATAGTAGATTGCCATTGTGTATTGAAGTTGCAGAGCATAGATGAAAAAAAAACCCCCAGCGTCCTTCCTATCACAACAATTCTCACGTAATATTTAGTCATCATAATAATTTTCACGCAATATTTGAAGTCATTCTTTACCTTGTTAAACGCAGGAGTCCCACCGGCTTCATCTAGATTATTCGGAATAATAACGTCACCAGCCCCGACAGGACCTCTCGTATGTGTATGATCATCACCTGACGATGCGGAAGAAATCGATGACCTAGATGAATGTGAAGCAGTCGATCCTCTCTCAGCTCTTCTACGATGAGCATTTCGTTTCTTTGTTACCAGGTCTGCGTCATCACTAGAACTCACACTCGACATCGAAGATCCACTCAAGGAACCTTGTCTATTGTTACTAGTATGCTGTGGGTTTACATGAGATGCATTGTTCCTAATCGAGGGTACAGACTTGCCTTCAGAGGTAAGGTGGCTACCGCTCGTATTTCGCATGTTGGTGGGTGCGGTTTTGTTCATAGAATCGTGATTGCTACCTCCATTGCCTACAGCAGTACGAGTCCCCGCGCCAGCTGCCGTAGCTGCTATTCCAGAAGACATAGGACCATCGGTACCTGACCCTCTGTCATGTGAGTTTTTCATTTCAGAGCGCGTGTTGTAATCCGCCATAGGATTGTTGCTGTGATGGCCTGCACGAGAGGCAGCTTCCGTCGTCAATGTAGGTTCCACCCCAGATGAGGTCGTGTTCTTATCGACAGGTACAGTGTCAAACCCACGGGCGGTGGTGGTGTTGTTGCGAGTGAACGTATCATGACCATCACTATCTCTTCTAGTGCCAGTTGTTGAAGATACATCGTCGTTCCCGTCCCCTGTGATCTTATGTTTGGCCTTCTGCATCATGGAGGGGTCGTTATTGTTGTGTCCTGTCTGCGGCACACCACCACGGCTACCGTCACCAATCCCGCTACCCTGCGTCGATGTGATACCGCTCTCAGGTTCAGGGCGTACAGCTTCACGGTCGCGTGAGTGTGGATTATTGACAGCTTGTTCAACCTGCCTGGTTGAATTGGGTCTCGCATGCGCACGAGGGCTTGATGAGAAATCGGCATTATCTGACACTGTTAGCTCATTACTAGAGCGTGTCTTGTCGTGTGCATCCCGATTGTTTGCCTCGTCCGTACCCATGACCATATTTTTCATAGTCTCTAAAAGTGAGGGTTCATTGTCATGTTGTGGGTTGGCCTTATTATAACTCGACCCTGCGTTCGCGAACTGCACCTGATCGGGTGTTGCACGTGTTCCGTGCCCGGTATCTTGTGCTGACTGTCGTACTCCCTTCACAACCATTGCTTAGATTTTAATTGAATTTTAGCTTATTGTATATAGTGTATATGTTTCACTTGTGAAGAGAACTATTGTGATGTGAGACTCTTTTGTACACATCAAAGTGATGTCGATCATGATGAATAAGAATTCCTGTGTAGGCTATCTACCAACAGGCTATGGTTTAGGCGGCCTTATTTGATATTTATGCTTAAAGTTTATATTAATATTGTACAATGTACATACTACATACCATTGATTTAACACTGATTTGTCGACTGAATAATCTGGTTTTATTTGATTGAATACGAAGTCAGCAACCTACGGTTTAGGGTATTTTCATTCGGTAATCTGATTCTGTCCTTTTAATTGACCAACTGTAGTTGAACTGTGAATATCTGTGACCCACCTTTGTTGACTTTTTACTATTTTGCTAGTTTTAGTTTCAGTTTAGTTGAACTGCTGTGAATGTTCAGATGTTCGTGACCAAAAGAGTATCCATTAGCCAATGGTATGTGATGAGATGAATTATTCAATCTATTGTATTATTTGGGAATAGTCAAATTTGAAATTTGAATACAATAATACAATATACTTTGACTTTTTTATACTCTTTTTTAACAAAAAATGAATTGCTGCGCGTCCTATTTGTTTCAATTTGAATTGAGGAGGCTGTCGTCTTTTTGTCTTTCGAAAAAATATGTTTTATCAAAACTAGAATAGTCCATTTGACTTTGTAGCCCCCTAAAATATATATATAGTAAAACAATTCGGCCTACGGGCGTCAGTCGGATTAGGAAAGTCCATTCAGCCAATCAGGCATAGCCCATTTCTCCTTATTTTCTTTCTTCTTCTCTACTCTACTCTGAGAGTGGAGTAGAGGACTCAATAGAGGGTCATGAGTTCATGACAGTTCTGAATTCACCAATCAATTCTGAATTCATATGTAGCTTTCTTATATATAAATGTTTATGTATAATTGTATACACATTACGCTATATGTAGCTGGTAGCAGTAACTATTTTTGTTGAATTTGTTTTTATAAAATCATCTTTTATAAGGAATTTTTATGAGAGAAGGGGAGTCAGCCCCTGTCAGGACCCAGGAGTGGCCGGCGGCGAGCCATAAATACCGGTTTGTTTCTTTTGTTTGTTTAAAAAAACCACCCCCCCCCAATTTCTGCATACTTAGCCTTCTGAATTGAACAATTTCTGTATAATTTAGAAGGCTATGCAATTTCGAGAAAAAAATAGGAATCAAGTTTTGTAAGCCAATGAAATGATCCCTTGCCGATAACGATTCATTTTCGAAAGTGCCCTCAGGCCTCGGGGCTTAGCCTCCGGCTCTCCGCTCAGGCCTCCAGACTCAAGTCCTCAACTTTACACTTTATTTACACGGTGATGGAGCAGTGATCACCGACTCACCGTCGTTCCGACCAGTCAAATCTCGTCAGGTGGAATCCCATCTCAAGTCTAAACCTCCTGTAAATCTCAAGCCACTATGACTTGAAAAGTTGAAAGTTGAAATACCGAACGCGGATCGATGTTGTTTTTAGTTGGGCATATCAGCCACAAATAATCATGATATTATCTAATTGAAATATTTCTTATATCGAGTTGCTACCAGCAGAATGACTCTTCTTGGCCTGCCTGTATTTTCCAGACCTGTATTTTCCAAGCGACGAAGAATGTACCCGAGAACCTGAGTGTGGAACATATGCAACTGCACCATTCTTTATGCGAATTAATTCGAAAAAGATCCTGTTGAAGTTTATGTCAGATAGGCTTAAAGCTTCTCAGTTCGGTTGACATTTCCTCGAAGACGCATGCAGCTCCAACGTAGCTTTACCAGAAAGCTTTTGATTTCATTTCTCCAGTAAGCACAACTCTATTCTAAAAGACTGTAGTGTATCGCGAGTTTATATTCGCTGTCATCATCGGAACGGCATTCCTTCATATGCTCTGCACATCACCTCAGTCGTATTTCTCATCCTTGTTCTCACTATCCTCCTTCGAGAACCTCAGAAGATACGCAAATATCCCCACAGAAACCACTGAGGCGAGCACGATCAGGCTCAAAAAGATACTCTCCTGTCCTGGGGGTAGTAGATTATTGCCGTTGAATGATAACATACCCTTGGGCGGTCTAGGAGACGGTACCTATTAGGTTAAACAGCGGTAGATGAGGAGAGATTGCAGCATTTATTTAGTACTACTCAACCTGTACCTCGACATGTAAATGAGAAACAACGGCTGTTTGACTCATGAGGCGAGAACTTGATGGCATAGAAAGGTAATACCCGTAGCCACTGATTACACGAATATGTATGTAATTCGACTCACATGCACTCATA